GAGTTCATACAGCCAGTTAGTGGGACAACGAAGTCAGTCCCTACTTTTGCAAAAAGTACTCTAGGCAGTTAAAATTCTCTTTCTACCCTGCTACCGAATGCCTGCAATTGTGATTTTTATTGCTTAATTTTTTTCCGAAATGAGCTATGGCAAGAACAGGAGAGGAGCTCTGGGCAAAGGTTTCCAAAATGGAATAGCAATGCAATGTAGCTGAACATGGCTGAACGATCTAGGGTGAACGGTATGGCCTTTAATGCCTTTGTGTGCCTGGATTTGCCACGTGTCTGGATGGTCAGCAGAAGAGAATGCAGCCGAAACCTTGTTGGTATTCAATCCTGTTTTAGCCACACCTTCCAGTCCCAGCACTTGCCTCAAGGTATTGGGAGAACTAGGCCATATTCCCCACTCTTTTCAAAAGGTCCCTCTCGAACTCAGCTCAGGTCAAAAGGAGCACACGTACATCAAGGCTATGAGCAATAGGCTCTCCCTGAATCCTAGTCTCAAGACTACCAGTGCCAGTGCCTAGCAGCCTGCATCTCTCCTGAAGTAGCTAACGTAGGCGCTACCAAAAGGGAGACCATTTGGTCTTCAACAAACATTTGCTGACCCATGACCCTGTGCACGTCTCCAGGCTAGGACATGAGGATACGGAGTTGAACTGTGGCTCCCCTCGGTGAGCTCCCAGTCAAGCAGGTGAAGCAGACGTTAAACAATTTCATAGGTCGGCACAACAGAAGCACCGACAATACATCAGGCACAGTGCCACACCCCAGGGGGTGCGAAGGTGTTTAAGACCCAGTCCAGCTCTCACCACCGGAGAGACAAACAGGAAAACAGTGACAATACCGTGTTTAACTGCTGGGAAAGAGGTCTGCTTGGGAAGATGGGGGAACACTGAGGAGAGCGGTCTAAAGGGAGTTTTGGTCACAGAGCACTGAGAAAGTCCTGGAAAATCACCAACTGGATGGAGACAGTAACAGCTCCTGTTTTTGGCTTCCACTGGGAAATCAGCTTAGCTGCCAGCCACAGAGCCTCAAGCCAGTTTCTGGGCTCCTGGAGCAAGGACAAGGAAACCCAGGGGAAGGTTTTGCTTTACTAGTTGTGGGCACAATTGTGACGCAAACTGAAGTTTTTCTGCCCTTCTGGAGCCTCCTCTCAGGATCTGTTCCAGTTTTGATTTCTCCTTATCTGAGAGGCCTTTCCCAGAAAGAGTCCTAAATGAATTCATTCTGATCTGTGAATAACTGGTAAGAGCAGTGTCTCCCAGGTTTCTCTGAGGATTACAATCACCTGGTGTCATTCCTAATTATACTGTTGATCTTGTTTTTCTCCTGGTGTGATATTGTGATTTATAATAAGAAATATATATTTGGTTTTCTTCCCCATTTCTGGCACAGAGCTCCTAAAACTCTTGAAATATCCAAAGTGATGAGAGCGATAAAGGCGTCTGGATATTCGTAACAAACCCCTTTCAACCACGTCTGAGTTTATGTTAATGCAGTGACTACTGGAAAACCCCTAAGGATGGGGACCTCCAGAGGGGAGAGGGGCTGGAGGTTGAATCAGTCACCAGTGGCCAATAATTTAGTCAATCATGCCTATGTAACGAAGCCTCTATAAAGACCCAAAAGGACAGGGTTTGGAGGGCCCTCAGGTTGGTGAACCAGAATGCTTCCGTGTGCCACCATGCCGGGCCCCAAACTCCACAAGGACAGAAGCTCTTTTGTTCAAGACCTCGCCCTATGTATCTCCTCATCTGGCCATTGGTTCATATTCTTTAATATCCTTTGTAATAAATCAGTAATCTAGTGAGGAAACTGGTGTCCTGAGTTCTGTGAGCTGCTCTAGCAAATTGATTGAACCCAAAGGAGGGGGTCATGGGGACCCCTGATTTACAGCCAATTGGTCCGAAGTACAGGTGATAACCTGGACTTGTGATTGATATCTGAAGTGGAGGGCAATCTTGTGGGACTGAGCCCTTAACCTGTGGGATATGACACTATCTCCAGGTAGATAGTGTCAGAGTGGAGCTGAATTGTGGGTAGACAGTGCGAGAGTGGAGTTGAATTATAGGACACCCAGCCTGTGTCAGACAGTTGGTCAGTGGTGTAGAAAAGCCCACACTTTAGAATTGTTGGAGCAGAATCTTACCTGGAAATTTTTATTCAATAAGTCTGGGTAGGTTCTGGAAATCTGTTTTTTTTTTTTTTAGGTACAAATAATATATGAAAGCAGGGACTATTTATTCTCTGAAAATGGGCAACTCTCCTTAAAATTCTCTGCTCGTTTTCTACACCTTCATGACGTTGCAGGCTTTGTAAAATGAAGAGGCTAATGCAGCTGGGCTCACAAATCAGACATACATGTGCTGAAGCCCCAGCGAGGTCTGAACTAGAAGAAAAGATACTTCCTGAAGCGCATAGCAAAGGGGATCAGAAAATCGTCCAAGCTCTGAATATCAGAATAGTTCTGAATTCGTGGCTTTCTTTTGTGGACATCATGGAAATCTGTTTTTAACAAGGGCTCTGTGAACAAAGAAGAACAAAGAGCGTTGCTCACCACCCAGTTCTACAAGGGTTAAGTTGTAACCCACTGCATTTGCTGATGGACAGTGTACTCTGAGTGGAATTCAGGATGAAAAACAGGAGGAGGCACTCTGTGCTTTGGACAAGCAGGCCCCGTGCATAGTTAGATGCATATCTCAGGAAGAATTTCAATGACCCCAGATTCTTGCATCTTCTAATACATAGGAAAGCACAGTTAAAATCATTGACTTGAGGTATCTGTTCTTTGTGAATAGCAATAATCTTTTACCAAGAATGTATGCTTGACTGTGCATATTTCCTAGCCGAAAGTGGATAAACTGGCTTCTCCCCTACCTCTTTGGAGCAGTTTCCTCAGAGCTAGCTGAATGGCTGCCTCCTGGGCTATAGTCCTCAGCAAGACCCCAAATAAAACTTAAACTCACACCTCTTATATTGTGTGTCTTTCTTTAAGTCAACAGTTACAGGTAATTCTTCAGGCAAATTTGGGAAACCATGATTTAAAGCATTATCCCCAGGGATTCACAATAAAGGCTTTGATTTCTAATGTGGAATCTCAAACACACATACCTAAGTGGTAGAGTGTAAAGGTTTTAAAAACATAATAATAAAACAGACCTTACACTGGAAAAGCATCCTACAGTTACATTTTCACCTATACTATAAATATTACTACATCAGAACCTCCTAACAGCCCAGTAAACTGGGTAGGACAAGGATTCTTGTCCCCATTTTATGGATGAGGAAACTGCGCCAGAGTGTATCTTGTAATTGGAGAGCAAACAATATGCATTAAATGGTGCGAGAACCACACAAAGCAAGATGCCTACTTTTGTAAAAGGATACCTTATAACACAGTTTACAAGGTCTGAAGGGATGTGGATGGAGCCCAAGGGCAGCCTGAAGCAAATAGAAGTCTGAAGCTTCCCAAAAGCAGGAGATACAACTGCATTTGGAAACTCAGTTATTTTCTATGGCACCGTGAAATCTTTCTACACTGGATTGTCATGTGAACTATACCAGTAATATCTTCCACAACCACATATCGTACCACAAACCAGTCTGACTTGCAAGGGAAGTACAAGCTTTGGTCCTTTTGCAATGCTCTGCTGACTAACCACTTTGTGTTTCATGCGGCTGGGTCAAGATGGAGATGTCCTAGTGAAGGGAAGGTGGTGATTATATGAGGTTTTGCCTAGGATTCTTTCTGGGCCTACTTAGGGCTTCAGATGCAGTGAAGTTGAAGGATTTCATTCATTTCATCCAATTGTATGTCTCTTCTGGATCAGGCATTCTGCTGCCAGCTATGGATGGGTTTTGAGAAATTCTTAGCCTAGGCAGGAGAGAAAGGAAGACATATACATGACTAGTGATTACCTAAGTCAGGAAGAATTGCAAAGCAGAAAAAGTAACATTCTGTGATGGTGGTGCAGGAGTTAATGGTTCTCATGGACGATCCTGGAGGGTTTACCGGAGGAAGTGACATTTCTACTGGGCCTTGAAAGACAGAAGGGCATTATAAACTGTGAGAATCTGTGAGCAAAGGCATCCGAAGCCTGAGCCCATGGGAGATCTACTGGCAGCCCATTGCTCAGGTGGGACAACTGGGGGAAATTCTTTGGGCCTTATACTTGTGGGGAGGGGACCTGGAGTGGCTGTACCTTACTCTCCTTAATGGACATGATTAAAATTTAATTCTGAAAATTCTCTTTAATGGTACTCAAGGGGCCTATGAGCATTACTGACAGTGTGGCCTCCTCTCAAGGGGGAGTATTTTGGGCAGCCAGTGCTGGTTGAGTTGTCCCAGGCCCCACTGTCTTCCATGGATGGCCAGTTGATGGGCTCAGGTGTTGGGTTATCAGAAAAGGGTTGCAGAGGACCTCATATAAAATGCTAAGGGGTTGTAGATACTGCTGAGACAGTGAAAGGTTTTAAGCAGAAGAGTAACTTGTCACGTATACATCTTAAATCTCTCTGATTGCTGTCTGGGAGATGGTTTAGACAAAGACAAGAGTGGAAGGAGAGAGTCCAATCGGGAGGCTACTGCAAGAGTCCAAGCAAAAAATCATGGGGCCTAAACAGAGCCTGTAGCACTGAGGATGGCGTGGAGAAAGAGGGGGTTAATAAGACATCTCAGAGGCAGAATCAACTAGCCACTGTCCTCATTCTGTGTGTGTGTGTGTGTGTGTGTGTGTGTGTGTGTGTGTGTGTAGGGGAATAGGACGAGGGAGGAGTCAAGGGTCACTTCCTAACAAGTGCAATGAGAGATGGCCCTCTGTAAGAGTCCCCTTTCTCTTCAAGGGGCGGCAGGAAGGGAGAGGAGGGGCAGGTCAGAGACAGCAGGGAGAAATCCAGAGGCCAGGTGGCAGTAAGGAAGCCCCGCCCCCGGATCCGGCCCCGCCTCCGACTCCACCTCTTCTCCCTCTTCCCACCCACCCCGCAACCGCAGCTCATCCTCCAGGGCGGAGAGAGGTGGCATTTGAGTCCTCCGGTATCCCAGCAGGCAGTGCAGCCTAGAGATGCTGACAAAGGACTGGAGGGAGCAGTCGCAGCTGCTTTCCGAGGAACCGGTGTTGCCGAGGTGAGAGTCCCCCACCGTCCCGTCACCCACTTCCTCCGACTTCGGGAAGACGTGGAAGTTGCGTTGCCAAGAGACCCCGCGGAAAGAATGAGCTGTACCTAAACCCCGAGCTTGGCTCTGTGACTGACAGCCGGGCTCCGTGGCGCTGGGACGCGGGTGGGAGGTGGGGGGAAGGCAGATGGAGTCCTTTCTGCCCCATCTCTGACTGTCAGTTGCCCCGCCGCCCGCGGATCTCCGCCCCCGGATGGGGCTGGCGCGTGTGTGTTTCGCTTTTGCCCGGGCGGAGGCAGCTGGCGCTGGATCCTCCCGGTGCCTGCCCGACAGAGTTCGGTTGCCCCGGGGATGCGACTCCAGGGACAACTCTTTGGCGGATGTTTCGAGGAGGGCTGGGGGAGGGAGGTCGACTCCCTGTTCGGGATGACACTGTCCTCGTCCTTCCTCCAGTCCAGCCGGTCCCCGCGGCGAGCAATTGGAAGGAAACCGGCGGGGCTGGAGCGAGGCGTCCCGGGATGGCTGGAGGGCAATGAAAGCGGGGTGGAGAGGCTGGGAGTGAGAGCAAATGCCTTCTTAAAATGATTGGCGGGGGATGTAAGGGGTACGTGGCCTGTGTCTTCCCCCTTCCTGGACCTCCGTACGGATCCTGATGGTTGCACCAGCTGCTGGGCTGTAAACAGGCTCACATGACCGGTTTCACATGGAGCCGGCCGGTGTGGGGACGAGGGCTGGAAAGGCTGGGCCCCAGCCTGGTGGAGCTGAAGTCCTAGGATGGATCGTTTGATACTCCCTCCTCAGCCTTCCAGCCCTTCGTCAGTGCTCTGTGGTGTCCCCCCTGGGTAAAGTAACTGACATCTGTCCTCTCCGGATTGAAATAGCATTTCTGCCCCAGTAGACTCGAAAAGACCTCACTTCGGGGAGCGAGAGGGAAAATGTTAAGTGAAAAAGGTCCCGGATTTTTTTTTTACCTTTGAGGGAACTAAGAGAAGGACGGAAACCTGAAACATTGGGTCCTTTGGATCTTGCCTAAAAAGCAGTCCTGTACTTTTGGAATGCATTGTGTTCTTAATGTGAATTCCAGACAAAAAGGGGAAAATCTACTTCTTCAGGCAGGGCGCACATGGGATTTAATATATTCTTGATGGTGAAAATCTTGTCCACTTGTTTCCTCTAAGTGCTGGGAAATCTCTGCCGAGAAAATATCATATACAGGATATTAAATAGGGAGTGGACACCAACTTTTAGATTACACGTATATTTGGTTATAAAGCAGTGGGAAGTTTGGAAAACAGGAAACGGGGCCAAATGTGCCTTTCAAGTTGTTCACGTCTACATATCCAAACAGGATTCGAGATTAAACTGGATTCTGAAGCATTTCTAGAACTCTCAAAATAAGAGGTTTACTCAAATACCAGGATATTTGAAAATTTGGAATTCCCTTTATTTGGATTTCCTTTATTTATAGAATATAATTAAATGTAATGGACAATATTCAGTACAGAGTTACCATGTTATAGGCAAAGATAGAAAATAGAACAACTAGTTTATAACAATGCATGTTTCTCCCCTTAAATTGTTCATGCACATTTTCTTCCAAAATTTTTTATTTTCAATTTTTTTTCTCATGGACTTTTTACATATAAGTCCAATTTCTGAAAAGCAGAAAACAAGAAACTGCAAGAAGAGCTTCCCATTCCTCTAATAGCCCAATGAAGTAATTTGTTATTCTTTTTCTGATTTTAAAAAGTTTAACACGGAAAATAATTTAAAATCTTGTCTGAAACTTAGATTATTAGTGTTCTGAATCTTGTTTTACCACCTTGTAGCATTCTGGAGAATCTTGCCCTACAATAAATAGATTAAGTGATTTACTCTTTGAGGCCCTCCATTTCCTCATGTGTAATATGAGAGTTTTGTTTTAATCTCCAGAGCCCCTAATAGCTCTCAGATTCCATAAAGTGGTGCAGTTTTTGATTGGGCACTATTCTTGGATAAAATAAGCTGGTCAAATAAGGCAAGATGTTGGTATCAACTAAAAGGAACATGCAGCAAGTAACAAGAAGTACCCAGAATCCTAATAGAAATAGGAACTGCATTCTGCAAAATTCTTATTAGGTAAATTAACCGTATAGGTTGACCTGTACCTGTCTCTCCTCTCTATCAGGGAATTGAAGATTGCCCCTGCTAAACATTATAAATAACAGTTCCATCTGACTTTCTTGATCTTCAGGGCATAGTACAAAGTCTGATTCTTTCACTCATTCCAGCTTCTTCCTGAATTAAGTGGGCTATGTGATCAGTGATGAAATTTGAATAAAAAGACAGCTCTAGCAGGGCCTCACCTTGGCAGTACCTTGATTAGATCACCAGAACCAGTATCTGTTTTTCAGCTTTTCAGGGTTCAAAATTACATTTTGCCAGCACATCTAGAAACTATCAGTCAGTCTCAGGGATTGATCCATACTAACCAAACTCACAAGAGATTTCTATGTTAATATGAATACCAGTTTATTAATAAAGGGAGACGTAGAACTGCCAAGCAGACCAGAGATTCATGTACAAGCCAGGGCACCCTTTGGTCTTGACACTGTGGGAACACATAGAAATTGCTCTTGACCTCCCCTTTTTTCTAGGGTCTGTGTGGACCACTTCTTAAAACACTTAGTAGCTGATACAGTTGACAAAATTATAGCTTGCTTTTATATAAAAACCATTTTGGTTATACATTTGTATGGATATACCCTAGTCACCTGATTGAACTTGAGCCACCTGAAAAACATCTCTGAAATCTGTTTCCTCTCCATTCCTCCTGCCTTAGTGTAGGCCCTCATCTCTCCATGCCACATTCATTCAATATTTATTTATTTTTTACTGTAACTACTTTGGGGTAAGGCCCTTTGCTTGACTAGTCAATGGCAACCAGTTTCCTACTTCAGATCATATCCAGTCAATTCCCTGCTTCAAATCCTTCTGAGGTTTCCCTTGGCCTGCAGCAGTGCTTCTCAAAGCATGGTGTGCATCAGAATCATTTGCAGGGCTTATTAAAACACAGATGGCTGGGCCCCAACCCCAGAATTTCTGATTCAGTAGGTCTGGGGGGAACCCAGGAATCTGCATTTCTAGCAAGTTTCCAGGTGAAGCTGCTGCTGCTAGTCTGGTACGACATTTTGAGAAACACTCTCAAACTTGGCTTACAAGATTTTCACCATCTGCCTCCAGCTTACCTTTCCAGCCTTCTCTCGCCGCTCCCCATACGTGCTATTTTTTAACCGTAAGCAGTGCCAAAGCTCATTTTAAGAGTCCCTTTCATGCCTCCACACATACTCTTCCTTGGAATTCACCCCCGTCTCCCTCCACTCCTACTGCAAAGCCCTATTTAAGGCAGACTGTCACTTTCTTTATGCTCCCAGAGCGTTTTGTATCTATCAGCATTTTAACACTTGTCACATCTTATCCTAATTACTATGTATATCCGTTTTTCCTGCTAGACTCATTTTGGAGGACTGAGACCATGATTTCATCTTTTCTCCATATTCTTTAGCACAGTGCCTGGTATATAATAAGTGCTCAGTAAATGTTTGTTGAAATAATTTGTTATTTTATAACTTCTGAGAGTGCTCTATGTAGCAACATATGTATTTCATATAATGAGTTAATATAGATTTTGAGAATTGCACATACATCATGAAATAACTGAAGACATTGGGATAGTATAAAACAAGGGTTGGAAAGAACTAGTTTGAAAGAAATGTTTTAAAAAAGGCATTATTGGAGAGCATCCTTATTTCTTTTATTTCTTTATTTATTGGTCGCGCTGCGTGGCATGCGGGATCTTAGTTCCCCAACCAGGTATTAAACCCGTGTCCCCTGCTGTAGAAGCTCAGAGTCCTAACCACTGGACTGCCAGGGAATGCCCCATCCTTATTTCTTTTAAATCTTAAAAGGTACACTACTTAAGTTTTACATCTTAAATATGTAATAGCCTAGCACTACATATCATTTATAGCAGTCAATCTCATTAGTAAGATATCAAATTATACAAAAACCCCTCGAGATTGTATAAAAACAAAATTGCCTAATATTGAGCAGTGAACCATTTAAAAATATTGCGTGAACATTAGAACATCGCTTGTGAAAGAGCTGATTTTAGGAACAGACCAGCCATTAAAAAGCCTATTAGACGATACTGGAAACTCAGAGATGAGGAGAGCTGACTTTATGAAATGGGAAGGAAAGAGAGGTTTTAATACCAGTGAGAGTAAAGCAAAAGAACATATTGCTCTTCACTGTTTACTATCCAGTTGGCCATTGGCAAGGACTGCACCAAGTATGGAGGAAAGAGATAGCCCCTGTGCCCAGATAAAAGGGAGCTGGGCCTGAAGGTGGAGCTGGGAACCCTAATCAGTAAACACAAGAGCCAGGCACAGGTAGTAAGTAGCTGGTGCACTGTAGCCAAGCAGATGGGTCCCTAGTGTCTGCGAGAGGCTGTACTTCAAATCATCCTTAACTGTTTCAAACTTTGAACCACTTCTGTACAAGAATCCCCAAGGATCACTTATTTCATTTTTCTTGCAGGCTCCTCTCCCCCAGATAAGGGCGGGGCGGGGGTGGGGGGCAAATGACTATATGGTTTGCAAGGGGTTTCTATGCTCTTTAAGTCTCCAGGTTTTGAATCTTTGGGGATAAAAGATCTCGAAACTCCCCTGTTTATCTCAGAGCCTTATCTTTCCCTTCCTCTGGTCCATCCAAAGTGAGGAAGACAGAGAAAATAATCACACTTGGGGTATTGGTCTCTCTGGACTGATGGTGGAAAGTGTGGGTGAGGATTTCAGTGTGTTGAGGCTTTTTTTTTGGTGGGAGAGTAGTTTGCAGACTGGTCACAAGGTGGTGTGCACACATAAGGTTTTCGCTCAGATTTCATTCATGTTTGCATTTCTGTGCTTTGGGATCGAGGAAAAGGATGAGGCAGTCTCCTGTACCACCAGCTCCCAGCGGTTCTGTCTCCC